GACCGGACATGAACGTGGACCACATGATTGGAAAATCTGCATATATATATATGGGCCATGGGTTCTTTGGGAAAGTCGCTTCTTCAAACAAGGCTCCCTGCCTGAGGGCAGGGGAGCTTCCTTGAAGAAGCGCTTGCACGAATGACGCGGTTCCTAGATGTCTAGGGAAACTAAAACCACCGTTTGCGGGGTCAATCCGACTCACAAGCCAACTACCATGGGTGTTTGGTGTTGAGATGCAGTGGTTTCCAGCAGATCTCTCTACTTCGCCCTCGAGAGAGGGCCTTTCTTGGGGCTGCAAGCAAGAAGATCGGTTAAAAAACCATGAAAAAATAAAAGACATGTCTTTTCTACAGATTTCTTGGTAACTTGGACACCTCCAAATCGGAGGTGCCACAAGGTGGATCTTCGCCCTGTGCGCCTTTTTTCATTTCGTCTTCCTGCTTGGCGAAGCCCATCTTGCAGGTCGCTTGGGGCCTGGAGAACGGTGAGACGTGTGGTGCCCAAGTGAGAACGGTGATCTCGTTCGGATCGGTTGCACCAAGCTGGTGACAAATCATCAGGGAAAACATCATCGTTCCGCTTTCGTCAAGAGCATGGTCAATCCGAAGACCAAGCAGAGGGTGAACTCCACTCCACTTCCATGTGAGTTCCAGGGAGAGTGAGTGAGTAGAGTGAAACGTCTGAAAGTCATGCGGGGTACTCGGGTCAAACACACCGAGCGTGTATAGGTTACTATAGGACCTGGTCAACCCCACCGGGGAGTAGGTGTTTGGGGTTTTAATCCACAGCCAGACAAAGCCAGAGAGTTTGGCAGATGTTCGGGAGTGTGTCATGTGTCATGTTTGGTCATGTTCACCTGGAAAAGGCGCGAACAAACACCACCCCTTGTCACCTTGTTGGACAAGGTGTCAGATAAAAACACATGTTGAGGAAGAACACGAAGGACTCCTGAACCAGCTGTAGCTTTTTAGACATCCATTGATTATTTTGGGGAAATACCCCAGGTACATGGGTGGTTGCGAAGCGTTATTCGCATGAACTGCGGCAGTGTCGTTTTTTCATGTGTAAATGTCGTCGGTTCTGGGTTTCCCCTGGTGGTGTCCAAAACTTGGGCCTAATTGTTTCGCACCAGCTAGGCTTTGGGCGTGGTAAGATTATCAAATATGCGGATCATCCTATTGCAAACCTCTTGCTGGAGCTCATGTGTTCAATGAAAGCGATATATCCTTTCTATTAACATATTGATATACTGTACTCTTTCTATAGGAACTGGAGCACTGCGTTTCAGTGTTCGTTGCGTGCATTCTGACCGATGTTCTTCAGAGAGAGATTCAGTGAAAAGCGCACACACTATATGCATCATGACATGTGCAGATCCAGAGATATTCAATACATGTGTTTCACCATCCTCGAGCTCTTTTCTAAGTTCTCATGATATTCACAAGCAAAGTGTTTGAACAGCGTTTGATGGCGTCAGCAACATTCAAGTAGCCTAGCATCTTTCCCTACGGCCATCGGTCTTTAGAGGGTCGTCCTCTTCGGCGCCCAAAGCGGTTTGGCATGGCCAGCACACCGAGTGAGAGCCTTGGGGGCTAGGGGTTTGAGGGCGGATCAGACTATTGGTAGATCAGAAGTAAGCCTCCGATGCCACCCCAGCTGCATGATTCAGCAGGTGTTCACTATTCATTGTACAGCCATGTGAATTGGCTCGATGTTCTTGCGCTTCATTGTGCATCTATGGCCAGTTGTCCAGCGATTGGGAACCAGACATATGTGGACAGCGGAGACCAAGGAAAGCTTCGGAGACCCCACATGGGTGGGCGCAGAACATGGAAAACCCACACCCTGACGACTCATGACCACATGGAAGTGCCAAATGGATCCAAAGGAAGACGACTTTCCTTTACGAACAGGGGGTGAACTCCACCACTTCCATGTGATGTCTTCGTCGGATCCCTATCCCTCTGCTCGACACTCGACACTCGATATCACTCGGTGTCTCCAAGTGACTCCGATGAAGTCCAGTCGAGCACATGAAATACAGCATCCTTTGCACCCAAGCAACGATGGGTCGATCATCCTTACACAGAGACGGATGAGACGGCAAAGAAAGATGGGTCTAGGAGTCTATAGGGTATGGGTCATTGAACCATCATCTGTGTGTTTAAGGTGTTATTCCGTTATTCCGGTTTTACCGGATCATCCATGCACTTTGCCTTCGCGACTTCGGAATGTCTTCGATCCATCACGGCTTGACCTCGCAAGGCTTGACGCCCTCGCTAGGGCCCCAGAGGGATTCGTGCCTGAAATGGGAGAAAGGTGTGCTGGTCATGCCTTGAAACGTGTCAGACCAAACCGGATCGCACGGACGTCACTTTGGTTTTAAAAAGGCCCAGATCCAGGTCGCCTGACTGGGCAAGTGGCTTTGAGGACCAGGTGAATTCAGCGTTGACCTTTTGATGTTCATTGATTTTTGCTTTCAGGTGGGGTCGGGTAGCAGCCACAAGCGTAAGCGTCCTAAGTCGGAGTTTGCGTCCTCATTTACGCAAAGCACCAGTAGTTGGAAAAGGATGGAAAAAGGTTTTAAGCTGCAAGCGCTTCAATCCTGTTTTTTCTGGGATAATGTTGAAGGTTTCTTGTTGGGAATACCAGCTAGATCGTTGTTGCTTGAGCTGTTGTGTCCATGCGTTTGCAATCTCAATAACCATAACTGCCATAACTACAAGGACAAACATATCCTGTGAACACCGCTAGCGGCTAGACAAACACAACAACACACCTTAACAAACCATGCAGTGCATCATGAAGAACCCAAAAGCACAAACATAAGACACCTCATCATGAAGCACTCTTCTTGAATTCGATGCATCATTGTTGAAGAACTGGCACCCAGAGTTGGCCAGCGTGAGGCGCACCCCCTCGCGGAGTATGACACCAGCCAGCCAGGCTGCCGAGGGCAAGTGGGACGATGGGATTGATTGGTTTCATGAATGTATGACTTATAGTCACCTTTTTTGATTGATGGCTGTACAAGGTACACAGATATGAATCTGAAACAAGCTGCTATTTCTTCCATTACAAGGGACGAGTTGCCATTTTCTCCGCGCCATTACCCCGGACCAGACGGCCAGACCACGGCCAGACGGCCAGGGACAGATGGATCAGCCGATCTTCCCTCCTTTGTTGATGGACCGCGCAGGGTGCCCTTCAGGCCCCGTGGCTCGCTGGGACAGGATCCGCGTGGAAAAAGGGATCGGAAAAAGGGCTTCAACCGTCCATGGGTTTGGAGAGAGTTTCCCAGAAGTGTTTTCTCCAGTAACATGTTTGCTACAACCCTTCACTAAGAGTTTGTGGATGTGTGCCGTTTATAGTCGGGTCTTAGCTATGTTCCTTCCCAGGGGAATGACACTTTCTAGCTTTACTCACAGCCCGTGGCATCGGGTTTCAACACAATCCAAAATGGGGCGGCTTCCCAATCACTCAGTGAATTTCTATTTCCGATGTCAAAGACGAAAACAGCTGGTCACGAGCACTCTGGCCTTTTCTGGGCTATTGTCAACACCTTGTTTCCAATTTGCTCACCCCAAAGTTATTGTTTTCTGAAGGCTGCACAGTTGTTTTGCTTATTCAGTTTGTTTCTTGCCGATTCTCTTGGGACTACTAAAATATACTTGTTGTTATGTTCATGTCGGACCACTGCAGGTTCTATTTAGAACTATACCTGGACCTTCAAAGGGGTGCTCAATGGAGATATCAGATATACTAGTAGTGTGGGGGCTTCCATTGGTAACCCCTTGGATGGTGCTGGTATATATAACCAATTATGTACAACAATATATGCTAGTATACAATACTATACTATATGTATTATATATTATACAAAAAACATCACCTCTCCTTCGTGAAACCATCACCTCTCCTTCAATGTTCTTCTGTTCTTCTTCACGTCTTCGTGAGTTGCGAGCGAACCGAGCTACGTCTTGAGTTGCGAGTTCCGTGCCCATGGGCTCCTCCCAACGGTCCCAGAAAGCTCCAAGCACCTTCTAAGAAGGTGGGACTGGAACTTGGTTTGGAGGGTCCAAATACCTTCTGAGGAGGTACCCCACTAGCAGAGGACGTTAATGTGGAGACCTTGGATTGGACAATTGAAGGCAGGAAGATGCAGGATTGTTGGAGGCACTTCTCACCTGAAAATGGCTCCCAATCGACGATGAGCAGGGAAATCTTGAGCTTCGCAGCCTCAAATTCCCTGACTTGTCCTCCCAGGCATTCAATTCCGCCCCGAACGCAGGGCACAGGACATTGGGGCCCCGATGTTCACGGTTCGGTGAAAAGCTCATGGATCCATGCAACTATAGTGACTAGTCCAATCGATCTGACCAAACGCAAGCCCTTGCGAAGTCGACCTTGAACATCTCTGAAGCAGGTCGGCGATTTTCATGCGGCCGAGCCAATGGATTCACTTCATGTTTGAGAGTACAGGACCAGCAATCCCATTGAGTGCAAGATTAGGGGCATTGGAAAAGCAAACAACATATCGTGCTATCTTTGTCATCATGCCACACCAATTGCCAGCGCTCCTCACCACATCCAGAAAGCGGCTGGCGGCTGCTGATCCCTTCAAACTACCCAATGAAAACGTGATTCGGCGCAGATAGAATTCTGCTGAGTCTTGTGTGAAGAGGACTTATTTTTTGGGGGGAATTCAATGGACTTTTCTCTTTCTTCATTCTTTGGACAATGATCTTGATCTTTGGGAACTTCCTGGGGCTCCAAGGATTCTTCTCTTCACCTTACGAAGCCTTACGTCCTCCCAGTCACGTGCGAAATCGTGCCGTGCTCCGACCACTTCTGATCATCCTTCAACCAGGAGTTCATCCATCCCTTCCTTGCCAAGCCGGTCTATCGGTCTGTGCCGATGGATGCCGGGGAGCCTGGGAATCCAGGAACGTCCTTCCTCTGGCCGACTGCGCGAGCTACAACTGGGGTGGCCAAAAAGAGATAATTCCATGAAGATGGCTCCCCTGAAGAAGAAGAAGAAGATGGCTCCCCTGAAGAAACGGTTTCCACTGAAGATGCTAATCTTCAAAAGTTTTGGAATGATGGCGCCCCTGAAGAGGAAGAAACGGTTTCCACTCGAAGAATAGCACTTCTGGGGGGAGGAAAGTGGGGAAAGTGTGAAGGGATGGCGCAAGTCCAATGACTGCAGAAACATGAGTGTCACAACCGTGTTTTTGCTGGCCCTGAAGTTTACACTGTACGTACTCTGGCACAATGTGGCTGCTTGTTCAGGTTTGAGGTCGTTCACCCCATGTTTTAACCATATGGAAGGTAGATGATAGATGATGATATAATGCAGGTCACCCGTGAGCAGCGCACTACATTGTCAGGTATTTTGTCCCAAGTTAGATTGCCCAGTTTCCAACACTCCTCATATGGTCCAATATTGGTGTGGGGGAACATTGGTTCAAGGGTGTCGGGGTCTTTTCAAGCCTCCGGTGGATTGTGTAGTAGATGGTGGTGGGTCAATAGAAAACCCGCAAATATCCGCAAATGCATGATCTAATGCATGATCTGAACATTTCTCAAACAGTGGTACCACTTTTAAGGATTCTGTCGGTGTGTGAAGAATGGACATATTCGGAATTGTGGAATTGTAGATGGGTGCTATACATTGTTATACTGTTTTTCTCAAAAAGACTGGCCTCTAAACCACCCTCCCAAGATTTCGGCTCAGCAGGATGAGACGGGCTACACTGGATACATCAAGAGGCGCCGCCTGAGACGCTGCGGTTGGGGGAGTGAAGTAGTGAAGTCATTGGTGTGGAATTTTGATAAATTATACGTAGATCCTTCCATCAGTGTTGTCAAAACTGATCTGGGGTGCTATTCATTTACAAGTTTGAAGATGATCTGAAGGCCAACATTTTGGGTGATGAATTCATAACAAACTTGCAAACTGGGCTACCAGGTCTTGACCCACCAACCTGCTGCGTGAAGGTCAGGTATGTCGATGATGCCTTTTGAGTGAAGGGCTCGTTTTCTTGGAAGCTGACCTTAGGAGTGTTGGCAGTGAAGCAAATTTGAGGAAAGTCTTCAGACATCTTCAGACAGAGGAACTGGACCTCCGCCCACCAGATCGTTTGCCTCTACGCACCAGTGGCTTAATCAGGGTCCATTTTTGATTGTTTTGGGTGCATTAGGATGCACTTCTTGGTAGAGAACCTATGCCAAATACTATGCCATTTGCTGTAACTCGCGGCTGGAACCTTGGAATCCCATCTCCACCTGGTCTCGACTGAAAAGCGACTCGGTCGCGAATCCGGATGGCTTGGCGGATCGCCCCGGGGGCGCGTCCGAGCGATCCTGAATTCTTCAAGGATTGGGCGCATCTATTGGTCAAAACACTTGGTTTGGAGGAGGAACTGTCCACTCTCAGGAAGTTATCGTATGATAGGATTATGATAGTAGATCTGGGATATGTCAATGGATTTATTGAATCAAATCTTGGATTCCAACCTCGAATCATTCTCATTTCACTTCAAATCCACTTCTCCAGCCCATCTCAGAGGCCGGATCCCAGCCCCATCCCCCGAGACCCGCTGCGCACAGATCCACCGAGGCGCACAGATCCGCAGCTCTTCGCCCGCAGCTATGCCAGGGCCCCCTGGGTCTCTGCAGCTCCGAAACTCGTGTGCTGTGCTCCCAACTTCGACTCTCGAAACTTCAACTTCCAAAAGGACTCAAAGGACACACTAGCACCACAAGATGTGGTTAGGGAGTTCTGGTTTTGTTGTGATTATAACTGATTATGTCGCTTCGGTCCATCATTTGACCGTTCGACGAGTTTTGCCCTTTGATTTGACACTTCCGTCCTTCGATCGATTCCAACTGTGTTCGACGAGGCCAAAGGCAGCTGGGAGGCGCGCAGGGCACGCAGCGTGTCGGGCGTCTTCGTGCGTGTCTGTCGAGGGCGCTTCAGGTCGACCCAAGACTGCAGAGTCATGGGAGCAACGGTAGAACTATCGGAAGAAAACTATTTGTTTTTGACTTGTTTGTTTCAGCAGGCTAGATGTTTGGTCACCCTGGTCGGAGTCGGGAACCTGGCTACTCAAAGATGGCAAGTAATGATTCATGTTCACTTTGCATCCTTCATCAAGTGAGATGCCCTCATTAAAAGGATTTGAAAGGTATCAATTGCTTGTCGCACAGCAAAAGAACTTCATGGCCTTTGAACACTTCGAAGAGTTTCTGCTCACCAGTTGATGACTTTCATTCCATCTTCTCCATGTCGACCGTTCTCAGACTGCTTCATCCGGACCCGTCTCCATCCGCCGCCGCCCTTGGCCTCGGCCTCCATCGGACCCGTGTTCAAGGCCGCCCGGCTGGGCATGCCAAGGACACAGACGGTCCTCATCGACCCGGCTGGGCGTTTGGGTCCGAAAAGGAACAACGCGACTGTCTACGACCGTGGATACGTAGGAAGGAGTAGACAGCTTAAGAAGTGGGGTATGTTGAGCACACACGTGGAGCTGGGGGTGAAGGTTGAAACACGTGGTTTTTGTTGTGTTGTTTTTTTCCACCTATGTCCATGTCAATGGAAAGAGCTATCAGCCCATATCAGCCCTCAACGATCCTGAAAGCGATCAAGGTGGATCACAACTGCAACTATACCTGGAACTTCGTTACGGCAATAATGGCGTTCTTCCATATTGATCTCATGGGGACGGCGTTTCTTGATGAAGTGCGGCAGTTTCGGTCAGTTGACGGCAATTTTGGTCCACACATCCATGCGCCTCAAAGAGTCATTTCAATCATGTCGTTTTAGTTTTAGTGCAGGCGAGTATGAACACATTGTAGGGTCTTGCTAGAAAGGCAACTGAACGTAAAAGGCGTCTTATTATATCAGCAAACTCGCATAGTCATGTGAAGTGGAAAGGGCAGCTGATGGAAGTGTCACATGCTGGGTGTTCGTCGGTTTTCGCGGGTAACTCGACCTCTTTGCGCGGCGTTGCAGAAGATTTTGCGTTTAAAGTTACGGCGTTCTTACCCGTACTTGCGGCGTTTTTCCCCGTAGGTACGGCGTTTCTCCCCGTACTTACGGCGTTTTCCCCCTACTTACGGCGTCGTTCCCTTACCCTGTCTAGGGCCACTCAAGGAGGCAGCAAGACTTGTCACAACATGTCACAAGCGATCCTTTCAGCCATTGCATGATCAAAATGTGAACAAATCCTGCCGTGATGTCAGTCGAGACCTTAGACAAGGGCTGCAACATCTTGAGAAGTGCTACCATGAGGCTTGAAAACGATGAGCTCTACTTACAAGTGAAAAAGGAGAAGGCAATTTCAGGGTATGGACGGACCAAAACAATATCCTCTTTGGTAGATCAAACAAAACGGCGATTCTTCTTTTGTGACGGCGTTTTCACTTCTCTGACGGCGTTTTCACTTTCCAGGGATTGAGCTACGGCAGAAAAAATGAGTTACGGCAAAAATCATTGCCTCAACAGCCTACGGCAAAAATTATTGCCTCGGGAGGGTCTAGGTATACACTGACTTGTCTCTCGCCTCAGTCTCGCTGCAAGTGATCTTTGCCTTTCCACGTCCTCGACCCTGAACTAGAAGCGTAACTTGGTTCAGCTTCAGGACCTTGATGCTGAGCCGTTCTGTGCCAAGCCTTCTTTTTACCAGATCCTTGGCCAGTCAGCGTCTTTCTTCCGTTCGTTGAGCGAAGTCCAGGCGACAAGTGTCAAGCGCAAAAGTCCATCAGATGAATCAGAGCTCTTCAGTTTCAGCTTCAAGGGATTGCAGCAGTGACCCTGCACAACCCTCCCATCATATCCATGACCTGGTTATTCTTTATTTTCGCTATGGGTGAATCACCTTCTGGGAATATGTGCTACTCTTTCTCCGTTCCTGAACAGCAAAACCAATGTCAAAGGTCTTCCTACCAGTCAGTGTATTATCAGTATTTACGTTCACGGATTTTGGTATTCTCCGTGTCAACATGAGATTCAACGCATAAACCTGAGCTGCCTGAACTGTCTCATGTGTTGATCACCATCTTGTTTCAGACCCAGGCCCCCTGTCCCGCTCCGTGACGCCTGCAGTGTCTACACGGGGGTAGATTGAGGAAGATTGTAGACCGGCTATGGCTATGAGTGACAAGTATCAATAACCTGATGAACATATTGGATTTGAGGTTGTTTCCAGTTGTATAAGTGGTCATGATAGATTATAGATTGTCTTTGTGGTTCTTGGTAATTGCCCTGGATGCAAGTGAATTGACACTCACCTTTTGGCAACGATGCCCTGCACTTCAAGCCATTGATAGCCATAGACCATTTCCTGCTCCACCTAAAGTCCACACATTGTTGATGTTGGGAAAACAGTTTCATCAAAGGTGTTGGTTTCCGACTCAAATCCACACGTTGCACGTACTCTCTATGAGCAAGTGTTCATAAAGAATAGCGATAAAAGCCCTCCTCAAGACTGACATATGTGACATAAATTTTACGACAGACAAGAAGTATCCTCTACAAAACACGGATGTTCAGGTTCATTCTGTCAGACGGGGGTGCATTCATATGCATTCATCATGATTGTGATGTCTCAAAGTTGTTTTGCAGCTTTCACACCTATACTGGCGATATGGACGATATTCCCGCTGCTCACAGGATCCCCTGTAGACTGTAGACGTTGGAAGGGTTGACTAATTACGTTTCACTTCAATTTCGAGTTTGTTTGCTTTTTCTACGCATAGGCATAGTAGACTCTATATATCTCTATATTGTTTTGTTTTGGTAGCATTGTCGCGTCTCATTCTTGTGTCGGATTATGGCTTGGCTTTTCCCTGTCCTTTAATACATCCCGAAATCAAAGCAATGTGGGGGGTGAAAATCAAGCACTCCGGGTGGGTCAGCAAGTGAGCCTTCGTAACAAGTGTCGAAGAAAGACACCCATATGACAAGCAAACCGTTTCAGTGTGGGCTCCATTTCCCGTGTACACTCGGGATATTTTGCTCCTAAACTCCTTTATCGGCAGCATTTCTCCTCGAAGCCGCAAAAAGACTTTGGTTGCCGTTTTCTTGCTGGTTCCACATCTCGATATCCAAGTCCTGCAGCTGCTTGGCTGTACCTTTCCATGTTGCTAGCTTGACACGGATCATGTGGCAATCACACCGCATCCAGTTCTGCACGAGGATTTCGGCACCTGCAAAGCAGGGTTGTAGCAGCTAAAGTGCTGAAACGAATGAGAAAAGGAGTCTGAAGGTTCTGCGATTCCGGAGCAACTTTTCGAGATGTTGAATGATTTTGGCTTTGTAGATTTGACAATTTTGTAGGCCAATTTTGGAAGACAGCAAACTCAATGCTCAGCATAGATAATTATAGATTCTTAGATACATGATACTGACAGGAATCCAAAGAGAGCTAGGGACACCGAGAGTGCAGCTCTTTAGCACTCTCAATGTTGGGTTTGATCATCTGACATGTACAATAATGTATACATTATACCTATAATGAACCATACCCATACCCTACAGTATGTTGTTGTTGGGATAACTTGAACCTCTGATGGTGTATTTTCCATTGCAGATCTTGCTCGGCGAGGTGATCTATTCTCAGTGTTTCGCATCCCATGTTTGGAGGTCGCTGGACCTGGAGGAAAAGATGCGTGGCTCACGTTGTAACGTGTTGAGGTTTGTTCACTTGGAAGTGGTGGGTTCAACCATATGGCGGTGGGTCAAGACCAGGTCATCTTGGTTGACCTACCTGGAGGGTCAAGTTTCATGGTGGACCAGGGCTCCAGTTTTGACCCATCCCCATATCGAGAGAGCCACAATGCTTTTGTTTGCATTTCTTGCGTTTCGTGAGGCAGTGTTACCGGCAATGAACCAGAAGGAACACGCTTGCAGACTGAAGAACCGATCCTTTTCATGGAGGCTGGCTGGCCTCTAGAGGAAGAGTGTTGATGAAACAAATCCTCAACCCTCCCCCTGCGTGTTTCCATTATAAGGAACGATAAGGAAGAGCTCCACCGTGATGGAAGACATCACATGTTGAAGGATTTATAATCATATATTCGATATATAATATACACAGACCCTTTTTAGTAGTTAGTCATTGCAAATCGGATAGATGCTATCTAATTTGGCCTCCTCACATGCACTCTCCAAGCTGCAGATGATCCTCCAAGGCTTTTCCTCTTCCAGTGGCTTGGACGGTGTTGGTGCCAGTGGTGCTCCATATTTGAGCGCTAGGTATGTGTCTTTGTGGAGAGTGAAGTTGCAGCTTGCCCAGACAGTTATATTTTTTAGATGTTGAGATGTGCATCAATTTGCAGAAAATTACCACATGAAATCGTCCTGAGTTAGGTAGGATGCTATGGGCAGTGTGGTTTCGCGACCATTCACACAAATGACTGTTCGGTGCAGTAGTGAAACTAAACCAGATGGAGTACACGGACCACGCAACTACCCATTTTACTTTGTGCAGTGGGAATTGGCGTTCCTTCCCAACAACGCACCAGGACCCTTCACAGGGTCTTTATGAACTGGATCACCTTCACCAACCAAGCAGTCTTAGCAGATGATCCTGAGCCTAAAATGTGGATGATCCGAGCTCCGGTGCCAATCTCGCTGTCCTCAGGTGTCCCCAGCCGCGAGCCCTTGCTGCGGGAAACTCAGTGATACTTGAGGCTAGGAATCGGAGGTAGATCCACGTGGGTGTGTATTGAAGGCAGACCTGCCAACGGGCTCTTATAGTATTTTTGGATATTTGTGGTATCTCCTTATATTGTAGCACATATCCTCATGGATCTACCATTCCGCGTCAGGACTCTGTGGATCCATCGACGGCTGCAACGTTTGGCTGCCTTTGACTATCGACATTCCATGGGACTCGAAGATATGCCGATCAATTGACCTATAGGCAAAACCACCCGATCATGTATAGGCAAACATGGTGCACCTCACAGGTGGTCACGGTGCACCTGGCAGGTGGTCAATTTCAAACGCTTTTGAGCAGAAAAGGGATCAGGGTGCTTTTCATTTCCCAGGGTGCTTTGATAAGCTGGTAACACAAAAGAGTGTCTCAGCAACAACGAGCTTTTCAGCCGTGCTGAAGTGCTGATGTGAAGATCTTGATGTCGAGGTGGACGGTGGTGCCTGATTTGTAACATGGTAGAGGTGGTCAGTCATGGCTTTTCAGCATTAGATCAGGAGGAGTCAAAGCTTTTCAGCTCCACGGTGCCTTTCAGATCTTTTCAGGGTCCAATAAGAGCTTTTCAGCTGGGTATTTTTCAGCACAAAATCGGAGACTCACATATGTAGGAACCGCTTTTAAGCTTCAACCCCTTGGCACTTTCATCAACAAAAAGTCCGTCCACTTAAGACTGGTAGCGCCCCAACTTCAACAAGTGGACCTGCTTTTCAGCCATGATCCTTATATATAGTGGGTTCCAATGTTTTTATTTCGGCACCCCAAATCAAAGGTGAAATCTATCTTGCCACCTATTCCAAAGACACTTTTCATCTCTAGAATGCCGGCAAGTGACCCCAGTGGTAAAGTACGGGGGATATTGGAACTGTCCAAAAAGCATGACCAGACCAGTGTGGAGATTGCTCCCACCAAAAAAGTGAGATCCTATGATCTCATATGAACGAAAGGTCACAGAACCGTTTTCTTTGCTCTTCCGTCCCGCTGCCGTTTTCGTTTGGCCCGGTGCCGCAGAGTCCTGGTCGTCCACCTTCGTGAACCGCGTCCACGTTCTCAGGTTCACCCCAGGGCCTTTGACGGTGTCGGGTCCGGTGAAACAGGCTTGGCCCCTCAGCGACACGGCGCGACACGGCGCGAGTGGTCGGCGTGGTTCGCACGGTGTCGTTGCAGCAACTGCAATGCAGCTTGGTGTGTTTTGGTGTGTTTTTGGTGGCCAAGCCACTTCCCACCTCCTAGTCTGGGTGGCTTACAGACCACCCTGGCTGCTGGGAGCTGGAAGATGCTCCAAGACCCAAACGTTTGACAATGGTGCTGACGTTTACTACAAGTTAGAATGAAGAACGAATAGTCGACATGACATAAGCCGGTGTACCTAGCAAACTGGTGCATTTTACAATGCGCATCACAGACAATCGCAGAGTCCTCGCCTGAGCCTATAACTTTTCCATCATCCGCACTGTCCAGGCCATGCTCGTGGACTATGGCAGCAGAGACAAGTCGGGACTCGTCTGGTTTTGGTCGTCCTGGGAGGTCTTGGTTTTGGAAAGACTTTAAAGAAGCTGGAGGAAGAAGATGTACTAAGACCCACTGTCGGAGTGGTCAATGGACACTGGACACCCCATTTTCTTTTTGCGGGGCTAGGCAACGGGACTCCTGGCCTGGTAGAACTGTTAGATTTAAAGGTGTTTGCATTCATGTTAAAAGGTTTGTGTGGTATCCGTGGTATCAATATGCATTTTTGGGGATTCTCTACTTGTTTGTGGCACTGAGTGTGCCATGTAAAAGGCCCACCATTGGGTCTGAACAAATCAACAGCAAAATCTGAAGAAGTCAGAACACGTCGTCCCATGCACCCTCTCTCATGAACCGCAACATGTTCGAGACATGTCCCTATCATCCCTCACTGTGTTTGCCAGATCCAATCCACCGCAGTCAGCATCCAATCCACCGCTGTTGGGACCTACTCCGATGGGAGCTCCTAACAGCCTGGCGCGCGCCTCTCGTCTTGTTGGCACTGGAGGCTGTTCTTAGACGCGGTGCTGGAGGTGCGGGAAGGCCTGCTGCAGGTCGCCGGCGTCTCGAAGGAGCTGCAGCTGCGGTGGTCCAAACGTGGGGTGCTGTGTTGGGTACTGAGTACCAGGGGGTCTGGCAGCCAGACACTTTCGACATGTTGCATTGTATCATTTGCACGTGATGGAATCATGTGGAATCCCCAAACGCCCCTCGTTTCTATCTCAAATCATATCCTATAACCCATTATCTAAAAGCTGCGCTCGAGAGCTTACTTGCATTTATATAGCATGTACTAGCCTCTTTGCATTTGGGAGTTATTTGGATAACTTGATCGCTTCCGTGCTTCGCAAAGTGTCCCCCTGAAGCACAGGAGAAGGGCTACGAGTGCGTGCTGATGCAGGTCACTCGAGCGAGCGCTAGGCTTCGTGTCGTGTTCATCTACCTTTGCTCCGAGCGATCCTCCACAATAGATAAAGATTTGGTGCTGATAGGGGGTCACAAAAAGGTGTTAAGCACCCTTTTGACCGAAGAAACATGTTGTTGTGTGTTTTCAGGGGCTTTCAAACCTTGTGATGTGTGTTTGTGTGTTGTTTTGTCTTAGTTGCATCACGTTGTATCTTCAAAGGTTGAAAGGTACTGTTGCATTCTACTGCTCCATACAGCATTGGTATTAACATTTTAGACATTGCTCCATTTCACAGTCCATTTGCCGGATGCTTCGAGAGACTGGACCAGAACACAAGTGGATGAAGTGGTTTCATTGTGCAGATCCCAAAACGGCACAGGCTCAGATCTAATTACATAGTTAGTTCCAGGGGACCTCATGAGCCAAATAGTTACTTGATTAGTACAACCCCCCATTTGGAGTGTAAAGCCTTTGCATATACGTGGTGCCATTGATCAACAGTGTACATTATATTAGGTTCACAAATGGGGTAAGAGTATGTTCAGTCCCATGCATGCGTTGCAGTTGTACGTGAAGGTTCCTTTGCCTTTAGCACCCTCTCCGAAGTATTTTCGAGATGCGTATTTGCTAGCTAACCCCACCGAAGCATGTTTAGAATTTTAGAAGGTGTTGGAACTGGGTAGTTTGAGGTGTTATGTACTTGGAAGTCCTTTGTCACAATAATACAGTCCCAGCTCTAAGCCACAAGATCTTATTTGAGCAAGTAAGACTGGGAACGCTGAATGCATCGCCAGTCCGGGGTCATTCATCACAGAAGCAGCTAACTTCCGCCAGAAGAGAGTCATTCATCAAGTGGGTCATTTACTTCCGCCATTTGACTGAACATTCCTTGACAGTCACCTTCAGTGGAGTCATGTAGGAGCAGCCGGCAGGTCGAGTTCTTGTCCAATCATTGGTCCAATCACCCTTTTTGGGGAGATGGGATTCCTCACTAAACATCACAAGCTAGCTTAAGCTTAACCATGTGAAAAACCTTGGTTTTTCTCTTCGGTCCCTGAACGGACCGAACCTCATCGTCCGTTCCGCCCCGGGCTCGCCAGGGCTCCGGCACGGCGGCGGTGGAGGCCATGCTGGGCACTGCCGTGCCCAAGGATGGCAAGGCGGCGCTTCGAACGGGTCTCTTTTCACGGGGTGTTGGACTGGGCGAAAGCAAGGAGGGGTAGCTATCGCATGCTCGGTTTGACTTGGTTTGCAGCGGTTTTATGCCATGTCTTGCTTTTGGTCTTCGAGATCTTGGTGCATGTGAAGGACGGTTCCTTGTGTTTACTCAACTCACCTAGCTCGCTAGGTCTCGCTGAGTAGTTAAGTTGAGGATCATATTAAACGTTTCGGGTAACTTTTCGACTCTGGGACCTTGGACGACCTTGGACTCTTGGACCCTCGCAGATCAATCAAATCAAAGACTTGATGTAACCGACAGGTTGTGAATAATCTATAGATATCTATAGACATCCCGCTTCATAGACTCAGACCGTATACCAATGTTGATAGGCTTAGGGCATTTATTCCGTACCTCAATATGAATAATATGTGTTCTTGGTTCAATTTGTTTTGGCATGGAACCTCAGTCAACCAGTGGTAGTTCAAAGTTCAAAGTCTTAAATCCCAGCGTTTTCTATGTCAACGGCCATTTCCTTTTGTGAAACTCTGGGATGCCTGGAGCTCGTGGGGGTAAGTGGCTGTGTGAAGAACAGAGTGCCCCACTGATGAGCGATCCTGGTGATGTTCTGGCAATCCCAGAAAGGCTCGGATTGACCAAGGCCGAAATGGAAGATCGACTTCCAAAACTGCAAGTCCTTTGTTTTCCGTTCGGTTCGTTGGAAGAATCACAACGAATTGGCATGAATTGGCTCCTGGCATCAAACCCACGTCAGGTCCTGCTGGTTATCAATGGGGCCTATGGCCATCGACAGACGGCCACTTGAGCTGAGCAGTGAGAAGGGTTCTTGGAACATGGGCCAAGGTTCAGAGGAGCAAGGTTCAGTGGACAGTCAGGTTGTAAGGTATTCAAAAAAGGAACCTAACTGAGAGCGCCGGGCACCAGTTCCCATGTGGATGCCGTTGTTTTTTTCAACCACGGACACTTGTTGGTTCGGTGGTGGATCTCATCGGAGTCACTCCGAATCGGGTTTGTGCATGTGTGTGCTATCTACAGGGCATGTAATGTAGACGTTTAAGTAATACAACCCACCCATTTGGGTTGTGAAACCTCTTCGCACGGGGGGGTTATTGATCGATAGTTTATATTTAGCATGATTTGTTTATATGGGAGTTATCCAAAAGGTCCTTGTAAGGGTTTTTAATGTCGAGAGCCTTGGATGACATGATCGTGGGTCTCGCGAAAGTATTTTTTCGAGTTCGCGAATGTTAATGTGTTTTTTGCGAAAGATTCGCGAAAGTATGTTTTTTTCAGCAGCTTCAACTTTGGAATCCGTGTGAAGCTTCCTTCCTGTTTCATGTAGTCCACCCTATGTTATGTATGCCGTAAAAACCTCCAAAGCACAGTTTTTTTTTTGCCAAAGTTTCGCGAAAGTCTGGAGAAGGTTTCGGCGAATGAATCGGCTCCAGAGGAACCCCGTAGCCCATAGCAACCCCACAAACTTCATCATCCAACGTCCTTGTGCAAATGCTTTCTCTAACAACATGTGCCAACGAAATTCTGCTCCAACACCACTTTCCTGTCTGTAGCATCCTCCTGCTGAACCAAAAACACTCCGTGCACTTGTATTTTTAGAAATCGAGTCCCTACCAGGTTAAATGGTTTCATGACATGGTGAACCCCCGCGAAAGAAAAACACAGGGTTCGCGAAAGTTTCGCGAATGTTAATGTGTTTTTCGCGAAGAATGGCCGTTTCAATAAACAAGAATATTGGACAACCACCATATAGCAAGTATTGCAAGTAGATAATGCTGTCGTTCTTCGCTCGGGCACTGGATGGAAAGCAAACAATGTGTGTGTGGCTGATTTGTTTGGCTTCATAAAAGGAACTCTAGCACCTTTTTGCCTGAGAACATTGTGTAACATATATATATATAGTAAAACCTTTAAAACTTTAAAACGTATGTTTACAAGACTGTATATAGCTGTAAATCTATTTCATTGGAGAGAGTCCGTTTTCAAGATATCAAGTCAACATAGTAGTCGGTGCCAAAAGTCAAAGTCCAAAAATAGTCAAATCAGAAAGTATCAGAAAGTAAACGAAACGTCAATTGGCCTAGATCCGACCGCTTTTCTTTGTTTCGTGTTGTTTTCTAATTTTGACATATGTCCGACTTTTTGTTGACTGTTGTTGTTTTGCTTTTATTTGACTTTTTGGAGTTGCATTTTGACTTGTTTTTTTCTGGCTTTGTTTTTGACTTTTTTTGGAGTTGTTCTAAAAACTGTTGACTCTTGTTTGATGTTTAAAAGAGAATTGTTTTGACTTTTTCCGACTTTTTTGACTCGTATTTGACATGTTTGTGTTTCTTTTGAGTTGTTTTCTATTGTTGACTTGCTTTTTGTACTTTTGTTTGATTTTTTTCCGACAAATTTGGACTTTTCCATTTGACGTTTTCTTGAATTTGACTTTTCCACTTGACGTTTTTTGACTTTGACTTTTCCACTTGGCTTTTGTTCGACTTGTTTTTAAACCAAGGATCCTGGCCTTACCATATGAAAGAATTTTACAATTATATAGGCTTGCGGCTTACATTTGCCCAGTCGCTCAGGAAGAACAGATCCGCTTCGTTTGTCCAGGAGCTTTTTTGTGGGATCAAACCGCAGAAGGGATTCCTTGAAGCACAGGGCCAGTGTTCCAAACACGACGAACTTCAGCTTATATAGGAAGTCACCAATCCCTCTACTGAATAACGGGGTCAGTGTTCCAGACAGCCTACTTCAAAGAAACAAGTGCATGGACAACAAACCAACAAGGGCTTCAGAAGAGAAGGCTGCTATATCTTTGCTTTTTGGCTGACGGAAACCTCACTGACTCATTGCATGGGTTCTACAATCATCCTGACCCGATAATCAGATTCTCAAGTTGATCACACTCACCAGACTTCCACAAAAGATTTCCCATGTTTCTTGGGTGACCAGGTTTTGGGGATTGTTTTACACAGTTTCTCCTGATCAGATTCCACCAATCGATCAGATTGTCCCAAACTCTCCTGGAGTTTCCTTCGTTTCTTGGTGCCACCAGGCCATCTGCAAGTACGCTGGTATTCCATACGAGACCTTAGTTTTCGAGGACTGCTTTGCAAGGAGTTTATACAATTGGATCTGGAAGATCCTAACAGTTTAGCATGTTTGCAGTCTGCGTTCACCCTCTTAATCTCTTGGAGTGGAGGATGTTCACACATTTTCACACTTGTTCTGCTTGAAGGATCTTGAAGGGTGTTTCTCTCAGGTTGGCACACCAAGTGATGGTGAACCAAGTCGTCGAAGAGTTGTTGGGTGATTCAGGCTATGGCGAGCAATACCCATCGACCCTAACCATCATCCCTCAGGATTGAGGACAGTTCTCCGCCCGGCTCTATTGGGATTGATGAAAAAGCTACGACCTACTGGTGCATGTCCAAGAATCTTGCCTCTTTCCTACGAATTCCTACGACCTACTGGTTGTTCAATCTCTTTTGCCCGACGTTTGATGTTCATCCATTTCTTCGATCAAGTGATTCTTACATATATCAGGACACGGATCAAGTACATATGGGTGGGACTTCTTCGACCCCACCGGGCACCCGGTCAATGCCGCTCCCTCTTCTCCAGGACTCGGAGCCAATCACGGTGGACCGCGTGCGGCAGACGCTGCGCGCGAGCCGCTGCTCGCACGTGTCGCTGGTGCACCACGAGACCACCGCTGGGGCGACGTGGCGAAGAGGAGGATGAAAAGCACCCAGCTGTGGCTGCCACGAATGGACCAGTGGACCATGAGTAAGGGTCCATATGAGTCATATACTTATTGTTCTTAAGGACCAGGCGACAATTGGGGAGGGGACTCCATGAAACTAGGGGGCCCGCAGCCTGTTGATGGATTTTGTTGATGGTACGGTGTGTTTTGGAGGTTCCTTTGTGGGAGGGGACTCAATTCTTCAGTAGGATCCTTGGCAAGTTTTGGATCTCACTCGAGTTGGTGACTTGAACACAATTGGATAAGACCTACTTTCTTTCGTAAACGTCGTCCTTTTGTATCATGTGTTTATATCCTTTTCTGTCATGTTCTTTGTATAGCCGCAGAGCCGAATACATACTAGGAAGTCGGTATCCTCAAAGGAAGTCCATCGCCACACACCTATGGGGTTACATGTCTCGGTGTCTTTGTGTGTCAGCCAGACCTTCCGGCATAATATGCTTCTACAAAGGGCGTCACACTTGGGTTCTGCAGCCATTAGCAGCGATGGATATGAAAGGACACACTGCAACAGTTAGCCAGTTGTTGGGTTTCCAAAGACCGACTAATTACCATCAGATATTGTTTGTCTATTATCAACCCGCAGCCCAACATATACAATATGTTTCCCAGGTACCCAGTGGGAAAGGCATGCTTCTCCCTTTTCAACATATAGGCGTGGCATCTCACATGTCTTCTCGCCCTCGCGCAAACGAGGTGATCAACCCCCTGGAGGAGCTGGTGAAGATGATGAAAGCCGAGTTCCCAGACCTGAAAGGCCTGCGTGTCAACCGCTGGGGCCGGCGACCTCACGAGATCCACCTGTTGGAAGGTGACAGGTGACCGGTGGGCATGTGAAATGACCGGTGGCCAAAGAGCGGGCCAGTAGGCAGATAGAGTATTTATCCGTCCTATACCATGGTTTTGAGTGTGTTTGTGCTTTTCTTTCAGGTGGCAATGACGCATGAATGGAAAGATCAACATTGAATTGACATGAACCCTTTCCGGTGGTGCATCTGTGAGCTTTGTGGCTCCTCCCTGCGAGAGAAGCTCTGGATCCTCGGGTGGTGTCGGCAGGGTCCTTTTTCGCACCGCAAGCTGCATGAAAAGAACTGTCCACCACGTTCCAAGGCGTTTGACAAAATTTGACTGTTGTGTTCCAGTGAGTGGGGTTCGTCACACTGGAAGGCAAAAGTTGAAAGAAGACATGCCATGAGCATAATTTGCACGACCAACGGAATGCACACGACGGCCACCCCCACACCTTCCAAAACAGTACCCCAAAAACAGCACATTAAGCTAAAACACACGCACACCCACACACACGCGCGCGCGTACATGCAAATGTACGCTGTGCTGTTCTCGCCTGGCGCGCGCAGTGCTGGTGGACTCGATGAGTGGCTTCGGCGCTTACGAGTTGGACATGCCCCTGGGAGCGACGGTCCCACTCAGTGGGGGGCGGGCAGCCAGTGGTGGTGGTGGCAGGCAGTTTTGGTTGCAAACTAAAAGTGTTTGGCATCTAAAGGCGGTTTTGGTTGGAGACCCAGTTTTCAATCAAATGAGCCAAGTGCACAGAGAGGCAATGTTCACAGCGTGGAATGGTGGGGGAGCAGCTATTCTTACTGGACAAAACTTCTACACATCTCTTCTGAAATGTTGTCACGAAGCACCAGTTCCTCAAATGGGTGAAAAACAAACAGACAACTTTCTGGGATGCCCTTTTCCAAGAGAAACGCCAGTTCCCAGCTCTTTGACCCAGCCGCGCCCGCGCCCGACCCAGTCGCCCGACCCAGGACCTGGGGGATTGACTTTGCCGTCTCCTCGGCGAACAAGTGCATCGAGGTTCGACTCACGAGACCCTGGGGGGTTCGACTCACTGTGGACGACTCACTGTGGAGTCAGAGTCCAAGAAAGACCACCCGCCCTGTTCAGAACGTACAAAATAAGGTCTTCCCTGGTCTTCGCAGGTCTTCCCTGGCAACTCCGGAACAAACAAGACTGGACATCCCTGAATCCAAGACAATGAGACAACGGTCATCAGGAGGCGTTGCAGTCACAACACATATTGGCAAGAACGCCGAAAATCACAAATGGGTGGATCATTGCCCATGAGAAGGACATTGAATAAACATGGATGACCTGTTTTTGTCGGGTTACGAGGTTGGATGGTCTCAATATGTCTCAATCATGACCAGCTCCGATTGCAGCAGTGCGTCTCTCAGGGGGTGCCTGGCTTCGCCTATGTCCTTTGTGCCACTGATGCGCTCAAGCAGACGCAGGGCAACGCTCGGAGCCTTACCATGGACGCTTGGTACTATAAGGTGATGTATGTTTTTATTTTTGACTCAGAAGACCTGGTTTTGCTTAAGGTGATGTTTTATACTTTTCCTATGGGTGAATCCCTTAACCTGGTGAAGATGTTTGTGTTTTTGCCGGTTCCTGGACAGCAAATACATCACATCCAAGCGAGTTCGTGTGAGGATGGGTCGAAGGAAACGCCGCAAACCGAAGGCACCGGCTGAAAACTGACGGCATTTGTTCGTGTCAGCACCGGGTAAAAGAGATCGACTGCACACATGCTCTGAAACACGGAACAAAGAAGTCCCGGTGAGTCAGGTCTCTCACTGATCTTTTTCATTCCAGTTTGTTGATGCAGTGGGTGAGAGCTGCATTTTAAGGTTTCCTTCGGTGATTTAGAACCTCTGCGGCCCTGTCAGCACAGCCATCACTGTGTTTGAATACATTTGTACCCTTGTGTATCCTTGTGTACACTTTAAGATTTCTACTGAGGACATCTTCGACCAGTGGGCCAACATGGAATCCACTGGGTCACTTGGCGAAGACACAGAAGTGGCAGAACTGGATTGGCAGTAGAGGAGCGTTCTCCTGGTCTCTTTCAAGAGAGTCCCAGTCAACATGACAGCTTTGGATCAGGAAGCAATGCATGCATACATATGACTTCTGCCGTAGGTGAGAATGTTTGCACGAAACTCCTGCGGCCACGGGCTCGTGTAGGGTCTCTACGCGGCGCATGGCACTCTGCGCGAAGTGTCGCCGCGCCGCGCCAGCGGCTGGCGACGCTTGGTGCTTGGGGTGCTCCGGGTGGGAGGCTCTCGGGTCGGAACTCTCGTTCTCCTGGAGCCATCCCGGACTGCGTGCGGTCGCCACTGACATAGTGGTGAGCGCGGTCCGCCAGGTGCGCGCCTTACGCGTCACTCGGGTCACTCCGCCCGTGGCGCAGGCTGCACGAGGCCAGGCCCGGCCACTCACCCCGGAGCGCCCCCCTCCTACGGCTGGCGTTGGGTCCGAGCCGAAGGATCCTCGAGCTCCGCTGGTGCGATCTCCCCGGCCTGAGATCCCACCGGCTACAGAGGAAAAGGCCGACAAGGACGAGGAGAGCTCCTACGAGTCTGACGAGGACGACTCTGGTGAGGCCTCGGAGGCCACTATAATACAGGACCCAACCAGGCCTGTGAGCACAAAGGGACTGTCCGCGAAGGCAGCGCCCGCTGCTCGTCACGCTGCAGAGCCGGCTGAGGAGGTCAAGCAGGAGAAGGTTGAGAATACTGCTGGTGAGGCTGGGTCCGTGCCCGTGCCCGCCGGTGAGGAGGCGGCAACTTCTTCGAGGGGTCATAGACACCCCAAAGGTGAGCATTCAGTTCGCCATCGAGGACGCGATCGTCGAGGAGACGGCTTCAAGAAGAAGAAGAGAAAGAGAGACAAGACTCACAGGGCAGGTAGAAAGCACAAGCGGCTATATCGAGCAGACGAGAACCCATTCCTCACGATCCATCGAAGTTTGGACAACTCGTATTTTGAGTTTGACTCAACAGCCCCAAGGGAGGACGCGATTCCTGGGGTACCCCCCCGGGGAAGGAAGCAATGAGGGCAGGCGACGAACCTGGAGTTCCTGGTCACGGAGACGACGTTTTCGGGGTCTACGATGTCCGGGATTTTTCAAGGTGGAATATGTTCGCACCTCAGCCGGGCAATGTGCTGGTAACTGCCGTGCCCTACGAGGTGATTGGTCAGGACGAGGTGGAAGGCTTTTTCTTGGTGCTGGGCTCAACCCTTGCATCAGATGCCAGTATGTTGGTACAGGTACGTGCGATTGGGGCCAGTCGAGACGATGTTGTCCCAACGCTCAGCAGTCTTTTCAACAGGCGCGCTGGTGCTCTTCACATTTGTTTGAACGAGGGACCGTGCGCGATAGAAGAGGGAGTTTTCCATGTGCGTCGACTGGAGCTATGGAATGGATCCGAGTTCCCCTCAGGTCGACTCACAGTTGCAGGTCGAAAGCTGCTCAAGCAGGTATTAGCTCCAGGAGGCACTGGAGACGAGATCGAGGACGCGCTCCAAGCCGAGGACTTAGGCGAGGTTGTCGAGCTAGAGGGCCCAGGAAAGGAGAGGGGAGTGAAGGATCCCCTGACAAAAGGCAAAGGAGGAAAACCACCAGGCGCTCGGGCTTCAAAGCGGAAGGCCCCAGGAGAGGGCCAAAAGGCAGTTTCGGGCCGTACCGCGCCTGGCATCCTCAGGGACAGGCTGGAAAAGGTCCGTCAAAAGCAGCAGAACCGGGGCCTTGGTCGACGAGTCAGGATCGCTGGAGAAAACCAGGTGTTCGAGGAGGATGGAGATGCTTCACCTGCTCCGGCCGGGTTGACTACGAGTTCGAAGATTGGCACCACTCGGGAGGCCGCTGGCGCTCGCCGAGCCGGCACCGAGATCGCGGTCAGGGAGCCAAGAGAAGGTATTATGAAGAATTTGAGGTTGAGGAGGCAGCAGAATGGAGGAGTGGTCGCCACCTTGACATCTCAAGCCGCCAAAGCAGTTCAAGACAAGAAGAGGAGGCCACGAAAGAAGAAGGGCAAGGCATTGGATGCCTTGAAAGTGCTACTAGGCGGCAAGAAGAGAAAGAAAAAGAAAAGAAAGAAAAGAAGAGGAAGAGGGGCGACGATCCCGATGGCGACGACTCCGGGGGCTCTTCAGGGAGCTCAGGAGAAGACGAGAAGTCAGGAAGCTACAGCGAGAGCGGGGACAGCTCAGAGGAGGAAAAGTCCCTTTTGCCCCCTCTCAAAAAGAAAAGCGAGAGAGCGGAGGGGTCAGTGCTGGAGCTCCTCATCACGCAGATAGAACAACGCCTCAACGAGTTAGGTGGCGCTGCAGAACACGAGAACCCGGTGTCACACGGCACCAAGGTTCTGACCTACTGGCACTCCCTGACCCACTCCGGAGGTGTGAGCTCCCAGACTCGAGACGGTCGCGAGTTGTTCTTGATAGCCAATTGCATCGACCTGTTGCGTGTTGGCCGACTGGGCCGGCTAGGGGATGCCCTCGCGGCTCGCTGGCTGGCCCTCGAGCAAGCGGGGCTGGACCAGAACTGGTCCGCTGCCCGGCATCTCGAGATATTTTCGCCAGACCATGCCACAGCGGCGGGACCGGCGGTGACGTTAGCGGCCAGGAAGTTTTCGAAGCTGATGGAGAAGGTCACCGACCAGGACAGCAGGCCACGAAGCAACAAAGGAGGCAAGGGAGATGCCGGCTGGGGTCGACCCGATCGCTGGCAGGAAAAAGGAAAGCGAGGCAAAGGCGGCAAGGACGGCAAAGAAGACCGAAGGCAGAACTGGGGAGGCAGGGGCTCCCCGAAGAAAGGCCAGTGGAGCAATTGGTGGCAGAAGCCGAAGGGGCAGAAGGAGAACAGTTCCGACAAGGGAGACAAGGGAAAGGAGGAGTGATGGAGCGGCATTTGAGACGCTCTTGGTTGGACGAAATGCTAGCCTCTGCTGGAGATCTATCCGCGCTGGGGCTCAGCATGTATTTTGAGCTTTTCCGGAGCCCGGCGATCGATGGAGGTCGCCCTTGGCACTACTTCCGCGCTTTTGCTGCGCTGAAAAAAGTGTGTCTTAGCTCTGGCCAGCTATCACGAGTGCTGCACTCTAAACGTCAGGTTTTCCCTCTCCCTTCTTTTGTTTTCCCAATTTTGTCGAACGTCGATGAGTTTTTTGATTTTGAGTCCTTTGTGAAGAGGGGTCAATGTCGGGCAACCCTTGCTAGGGCCTGCTGGTGTGAATTAGTAGTTCTGTTTGCTAATCATTTGGCCTGTGGTAATGCTACCCGTGCGTGTTCACGTCCTACGGCGGTGCAACGTGATTTGATGAGCTCAATCCGGGCTGCTGTTGACAGGATCTTGATGGATGACAGTCACGTGCTTTGGGGGGTTTCAGAAATCAAAGAAGATTTTCAGAAAAGAACCGTGTCCTACAGCGGAGAAATTTGCAAGGCTGAAGCTTTGAGCCTAGCCAGAATCAAACCTGGACTTCCTCCTGAAGGTCACGGAGGGTCAATTGAAGCTGTCAAGTGGGTTGGAGGCAGGACACGTGAGCTTCTGTTGAATCCCCTCGGTTGCTTGTGCCCGGATGTTGGGCAAGATCTCCCAAGGTTGCAAGGAAAGGTTCATATAGTGCGAGAAGAGGCTCTTACTGTGGCGATGGAGCTGGTGCGACGAGGCATTTGTCGTTGGACCCACTCTTCTGAGGTCGTCACCTATAGAGGCCAGAAGGTTCTGAACGGACTGTTTGGAGTACCTAAGAGCAAGTTGCTGGAGAGTGGCGAGAGTGTGCTCAGGGTCATCATGAATTTGGTCCCCATCAACTCTGTCCTACGTGTCATCCCTGGTAGGGTCGCCAAGTTGCCTAACATTACCCAGTGGCTGAACGTTGTTTTGGAAGAGGGCGAAACAGTCCGTCTAGCTCAGTCGGACATGACTTGTGCTTTTTACCTTTTCGGCATGCCAATTGAGTGGAGCAGACTTCTGTGCTTCAACCTTAGTTTCGACTCCTCCACGTTAGGCGTTGAGGCAAGGTCTAACTCGGAAGACAAGTGGTATTTGTCATGTGCCGTACTCCCGATGGGTTGGAGCTCAGCTGTGGGCGTGATGCAAGAGATCGCAGAAAGTGTGTTGCTTCAAGGTGGAGTGGATGACCAAGGACAAATACATAAAACCTGCCCCCTGCCCAGTTGGATGATTAACAGTACCTCTGAGGGTATGCGTCAAGGCCGTCCTTGGTGGCATGTCTACCTAGACAACTTTGCTGGGGGTGCAAAGGTAGTTGAAGGACAGCCGAAAGAGCTCATTGAGTTGCAACGCACGGCAGAGGCGCTTTGGGGCGAGGCAGGTATTGTAGTGTCAACTGACAAGTCAGTAGTGGCCGCTGAGAGTGGAGTAGAGCTGGGTGCCTTTATAGGTGGCTCCGGTCAGTGGCTTGGCGCCAGTTGTGAAAGGATGATTAAGATCATCAAGAGCACATTGTGGCTTATCCACCAGCCCAGCATCTCCAAGAAGAAGCTGCAGATCATGATGGGACGGTGGTGCTTCGCTTTGCAATTCCGCCGACCGGGTATGTGCCAGTTTGATGCTGTCTGGGCCTACATCAGCTCCAAGCACCCCCGTGCTAGGCAGATTGAGGAGGTCAGGCAGGAGCTACTTTTTGCGGTTTTAGGGACCCCCCTTTTCCATACTTGGCTAGGATCCCGGATCGATGAGGTGATTACCTGCAGTGACGCGAGCCAGAAAGGAGGTGCCATTGCCATCTCGCGAAGTCTCTCAATGGAAGGAGAAGGGTTTTTGGAATCTCAGAATCAGAAGAACCACCCTTTGGCCATCCCGGTATTGGTGATATCCCTTTTCAACGGGATAGGGGGCGCAGCGAGGTGCTATGACGTGGCAGGCGTGAAGGTGAAAGCCTATTTGGCATGCGACATACACAAACCTGCAAACCGAACTATGGCTCGGAGATGGCCAGACACAATCTTCTGGGATGACGTGAAGACTTTGACCCTGGACAAGCTCAGAGAATTGTTGGAACATGTGGAGGACTTTGAAGAAGTTCACTTGTGGGCAGGATTTCCCTGTGTGGACCTCAGCAGCGTTAGGGCGAACAGACTGAATTTGGAAGGAAAGTCCAGCGGGCTGATCCGTGAGGCCGTGAGGATTTTTGATGACACCAAGTCTCTTTTTCCCCAAGCTGCCTTCCACTTCTTTGTGGAAAACGTGTCTAGCATGGACTACAGTGCCGGGGATGAAATTAGTCGCATGTTAGGTGTTCTGCCCTACAAGGTGGATCCCAAGGAGCAAGTTCCGAACTCAAGACCTCGATATTGTTGGACTACAATGAATATGGAAAATTTGGACTACAATGAATATGGAAAATTTGGATGGCCTCCACATCACTGAAAAGCCTGGGTACAAGGAAGTTTGGGTTGCAGGAGAATGGCCAGCCCCCGCACAGTGGCTCACCCCGGGTTGGGAGCAAGCAGCCCCTGGGGTTATCTATCCCACATTTATGAAAGCAATCAGGCGTGAAAGGCCTCCCCCTAGGCCGGCTGGAATAGAGCGAACTGACGCTGGTACCCGGTGCCGGTGGGAGAGCGAGGCCTTTAGGTTCCCTCCTTATCAGTACAAGTCCCAGTATGTAGTTTACAACCCAGCTGGAGAAGGCAGGCTCTTGAATGCAGATGAGCGTGAGCTACTTATGGGCTACGGCAGATCCCATACAATGCTCTGCATGTCTGCCTCGGAGGCGAAAGGACAACCCACGTCATTTGAAGATGAAAGGTGCAGCTTAGTGGGGGACAGTTTTTCTATTTGGTCTTTTGTCTTATTTGCTGGTGCTGCGGTTGCCAAGTACACTGGTATTTTTAAGCCGGACCTCTTATTTTCACGCATGGGTCTCCCCCCGGGCGCTGGCCTGCACCCGGCCTTGAGCTGCCCACTTCAATTTGGCTGCCTTTTCCCTAGTTTCTCTGCGTCCCGAACGGTTAAGCAGTTGAATGACCACCTCTGTGCCCGCGTAAAGCACACAGGGTCAGACATTCGTATTACCACAGGACAAGTTATGAACCCGAGCGCTCTGCCGCGGCAATCGGTTCAAGCCAGTTGGTGGAACTGGACCGCCGTGTTTAGCACGCGCTGGAGTCAAACTGAGCATATAAACGCCCTTGAAATTCGGGCAATATACCTCACTATTCTTTGGAAAGTGATGAACAGGCAGTTGGTAAATCGGCGGATGTTTCACCTCACCGACAGCTATGTGGCCCTCTCTATACTTTCTAAGGGTAGGACAGGGAGCGCCAAGCTCAGGTATATTGTGCGCAAGATCAACTCCTTACTTTTGGTGAGCCACTCACTCCTTCACCTAGCCCACGTTGATTCCTACGAGAATCCTACCGATGCCGCGAGCCGCGCCTGAGCTGCTACGACGACAAAGGCTGCGACGCCGAAAGGGTTTAAGCCTTCATGACCGAGCGGTGACACTGAAAACCAGAATCAGGTATTTCGTTGCTGTTTCCGCCTTATTGCCCGCTCTTGAAAAGACAAGGGACGACATTGATGATTTTCTCATCGCTTGGATTGACCTCCAATATGTCCAAGGCGCCAGTATCACTTCCGTAGCGGATGCCCTATCAGGCCTGCACCATTATCTCCCATGGAGCCGAGGTAAAATTCGTGGAGCATGGAAGCTTTATGGTGTTTGGAGAAAGTTGGAAAAACCCAAACAGGCACCCCCATTTCCTGTCAATGTCGCGGAAGCATTAGTTGGACGTTGTGTAGATCTCGAGGACCTCAGGCTGGCCCTGTGCCTCTGCCTGGGGTTCTGGGGAATGCTGAGGACTGGCGAGATCTTTGATGTCAAATTCAAACACCTCTTGCTAGGAAAAGAGAACATGATTGTGCGGCTGGGAGACACAAAAACCGGGCTGCGCCGACAAGTCGATGAGAATGTTATCATTGATCATGTCCCCACCATGATGATCGCTCGGACACTATTTGATATTGGAGTTTCACGTCACGAACATGTTTGGGGGGAATCAAAAGAGCAATTTCGAGAGGGCTTTCGTCAACTCCTGAAGTTCTTCCATTTGAAGGCCTCTTTCAGGCCCTACTCCCTCCGTAGGGGGGGTGCTACAGAAGATTTCCGCCTTCACGGCTTGATGGAAAGGTCACTTTTACGTGGTCGCTGGGGCTCGAGCTTTGCTGCAAGGCAATACATACAGGAAGGTTTGTCCATGCTGACTAAATTGTCCCTTCCCCCCCGTTCCCTGCCCTTGCTATCCCACTATCGTTCTCTTTTGGCCCTCCATTAATTCCGGTCCAGTACTGGGATCGTGGAAAAGTGCTTGGATAAAGGCCGAAAGCTTTCAGTTGGATTCATTTGTTTGGCTTACTCACATGACCTGCCAATATGGTCACTGGCCCTTTTGAGGCACTCAAAT